ATGGAATAATCTTCGACGTCCATAATACCAGAACGGAAGCGTTGGAACCAACACTTTGCTCTTGCATTCGATACTGTATATAAACACAAACTTTTTTGACCGCCTACTCCGCTTTTCTCCTTAGTCGTAGGGGTACTGAGGAATGTACCCCATTTTGGAACGCTCTAACATACAACTGGATTCACTTAACACAAAACTGTAAAAGAACTTTTTTTTGAAGCGTTATGTCGCCTTTAAGTCGCAGTATAGAATGACAAGACGCAACGTTAACATCGTATACATCGTGAAATATCGCTCAATAAAGTCATCTAAGGAAAAAAGCTCAAAACTTTTTACTTCACCAATATTATAAAGTTATTGCTTTTTATTTTAAGTAATGTAAGAATTATTTTCCATGATAAATGGAATTATCCTTAGTTGCAAATGTAATAGTTTTATTAGTATTTTCTTTAATTCTATTTGGTTATGTGTAATTAATAAAGATTAATATTACTAAAAGTAATTTGGTTTTGAATAATGACTGATTTAGTAATACAAATATTGGTGTTACTAAAAACGATAATATCATATTGTTATTACTTAAATTAAATAAATATTGGAAAATATTTGCTTGGAATGCGATGATAAATGGAATTATCCTTGAGTTTTATAATTGTTTAATATTTTCATTAACTACTTTTAGATTTATGTAACTAATTACTAAAATTCAATTGATTTTTGTGTGATTTAGTAATGAAAATAAAAATATTGGTATTACTAAATACAAAAATGAAATCGATAATATCGATTACATGAGTAAACATTAGAAAAATATTTCCTTGGAATGCGCTGATAAATGGAATTATCATCGATTCAGATAACATTTTTAATCATATTTTGATTAATTACATTTAATTTTATGAATTACCAAGATCAATATTTCAATTCTTCATCATCTTCTCCCTATAACCGTAACATTTGAAGTAAATTTCATGATAAAAAACTGAAATGACAAATGAAATGACATTTGACAAAAAACAAACATAATTGAAATTCGTCAAAATAAAGTTGGTATTATGTAAACAGAAAAAAAAAACAATAAATCACTGATTTCCGTTTAAGCAATAACAAAATAATCCCGGGTGACCTCATTAGCTAAAATAAATTAATTTGGAATAATAAACGCTACGTGTTTTTATTTTCATTTTTTTCTCTGGTAAAAACAATTGGATTGGTAGTCATTGTTGTTGTTATGGTTTAGCTTCACGCAATACAAACGTGCTCATCGAACGGAGCGAAATAATTCATGAAATCAATTAAAGTATACGTATTGTATTTATATAATAAATCGATAAAGGTAATGCAATATTTTGCTTTTTTTGTATTCAAATGGTGGCATTATGTGTGCGAAACTAAAATATAAGGTTATTGCGATTATGAATAGAATGAGAAACAAAAGACTCACGGTTTGCTCCGCAGAGAATCGTTTGCGCCGTTCCGGCCTCATGATGCGGCCCTTATTCTCAGTTCATCGCGCAAGTGTCCTCACCGCTCCCTTTGTATATTATATAATTTTTGTAACTAATATTTAGTGTATTTCTTTCCAGAAATCCTTTTTTTTTTATTGAAGGAGGCAGAAAGGGGAAAACTCAAAACGCGGCGCATCCGATGCGATCGTCGAATGCGAACTGAAGGCGCGCAACTCGCGGAGGTTGGAGGTGGTTGTCGAAGGGAGGTGGAGGATTGGAGGTGGCACAGCATAAGACCTGTCCGATAAGAAGGGGAGGCCGGAGCGACGAGTAAAGCACATGAAAACAGATATAAAAACGTGTAAAAAAAACAACAAAAGTAATATCGTCGCATCACGTGTTACCTCTTGTCAGCAAATCGCATAATCTCAGGAATCAATAAATAAATAACTTATTGATTATAAAAAATATCGTAAGAGAAGGCTGTAATAAACAAATCGCAAATCATTTAAAACCATGGTAACTAAGTGAATAACAGGTTGACATCGTTGATTATATTTAGGTTAAGTCCTTAAAATAAACGCTTGACCAAAACGTATTCACTAAATTTGCTTAGCAAATCTAGATAGACATCGACCGGCGTGTGGTTATTCAACCCTTCGCTTCTATTTATACCCAACAAAGAGGGTGACATACCCGACACACAAAATGATGAAAATGGATATGGGATAGATATTAGCAAGAAGATGAACATAGTAATAACTCATTTGCTTTTTGGGGATTTAATAGGTGTTCCATTCGGGCTAGGTAATTAATTTAAACGAATTTAACGCTCGATTAAGGAACTAATAAACAGAGTTGTTTTTGTCTTCTCTTTCTTTTACGTTAAAATGATTCTAAAAGCGAAATAAATGTGACCTCATCTCGCAAAACGAGTCATCGACCTTTAAGCAACTCAGTCGAATTATTACTTTTACTAAGCAATGTCAATAAACACACACAAAAAAAAAACGAAATTAAAAACTTGCTTACAACGTTGAAATTGAAAGCAATTAAGATAAACACTTTATCCGCATATAATTAGGATGCATTTAAATATGCATTAATCGAAGCTAAAGATGTATTATTCCTAATTAGGAATAAACTATTGTTTTTTTTTAAATCCATATGTAGGTGATTAAATAAATCTAATAGTTGCCTTAATCAGCGTTTCTTAAGCTTCTTGCCGCGCGACTCAACATATTTGTTTACGATTGACTTATGGTGATAGCTGTCATTTCGTGACCTATTAAAAATTTAACGCGACCCATAGGTTGAGAAACGCTGGTCTAAACAATTATATAGAAAATGTGAATGAAGTCCGAAAATTTAAGCCAACTTCCAAAAATAACATGAAAGAAATGAAGATATCCAGATGGCTCCGTCAATAGATTTTGAAAATGCCGATGAAGAGGATGATAGAAATTTATTGAATGAAGAAGGTGATTGCTTTTCAATGGAAGAGTTAGAAAACATTTTTAGTAACGAAGACAAAGAAAATGTCAAAATTAGAGAAGTTTCTGCCAAACAATTTTAGCAAGCATAGATTAGATTATCGACAATTAAAAAGGTAATATTTTCTTATTGCTACACCTTTACATATATTACGGCTTATCGGTAACGCCAATATCTTCGACTGTTTAAAACCGGACTAATCGAGGAACAAAATACAGACAAAAAATATAGTTTTATGTACTTTTTTTTTTTATTTTGTTTAATATTTCTCAATTAATATTTAGTTAACAGATCGAAGCCGCACTATGCTAGGTAGTTAAAGTAAAATATGTGAGTGAATTAAGAGAAAATAATGATCAATTAACAAATTTTAGGGGTTCAGAAAATAATACATCTCCATTGGAATCAAATTGCGAAAAAACATGTAATGAATGAAAGATATCAATTCCCAATTTTCTAAATTATTATTTTTTTAATGCTTCATGGGTATTCGAGATAAAATGTAAATGTTTTGCATCATTTGCGTAATCGAATACTATAATTTCTAGATACTCCCTACAGTTTGCATTCATATTTTGTTACATAAGATAATGTAATAAACGAATTTGAGACTTTACAAATATACTTTGAACTTTACAATAATTATTGCACTCTTTATATCCTAAATATACAAGTTTCATGTATTTATTTCATTTTCTACATTAGTTGCATAGAAATTAGATTTAGAGTGATTTAGGAATACAAATTCAATACGTTGATAGAGAACTGCGTATATTGGAATATATCTGTATATGTATAAAAAAAGTGTCTCAATCTTTAATATTAAAAACCATTTGCAGATAACATACATTTCATATTCCTCACTGAAGCATACATGTTGTACTACAGTTTGTTAAAGGAAAAAAATATAAACTATAATTCATTTTAGCTGGAAAAATGTTTTATTTTTTAGTAACATGAATACTTAATGTTAATGAGTAAATGAAGATCTAACAAATAGATAGTGGAAATAGATGAATACAAATTTGTATTAAAAACGATAATTATGAGAAGTGTTCAGCATTTTTGATTATATTTAATTCTCTTAATTAGTTTTGTTGAAGTTTATTAGAGAGAAAAAAAATGTAATTGATTTTAGATTGAAAATGCATTAGTTTTAGCAATCTAAATACTTAATGTAGTTGAAAAAATCAGTGAACAAAGGAAGATGTAACAAATAGATAGTCCAATTGGATGAATACAATTAATGAAGGTCAGATATTGCAATAGAATTTCGCTCGACTGGCATTTAACACTTCCCAGCAGACATATATTGATGTAACGAAGAATATATATGTACAGACAACAAAAAAAAGCAAAACGAACGTCCGCTCTGTTGAAAGCACTTTAATTTTAATTCAATTTGCTGGGTAACAATTCTGCGTAAAGAAGGTCACACCGTTTCAGCGATAACATCTGAAAGTCCGTCAAAAGTACGGTGTGTGTGTGAAATTTCAATCGCATCCCTCTCCAGGGCTACGTGACAGACGAATGCACATTTCAGCCTCCGGCCGATCTATTGATTCAAATATGCATTGACAACATAACGGCCGACGATTCTGAGGCTCGTTAAATCCGTTGTTATCGTTCAGCTCTTCTCTGCTTGGATTCGTCAGCCTGCGTCCGATGCGAATGGGGTGGTTCGATTCGCATCGGTGGAACGCAGCACTCCGCAAAATGTCAAATGTTTTGTGTTGCATCGCGGGTCAACGGATCCCCGTCTTAATTTAATTTGCGTCCCACGAAATTAGACCCGATCGATTTATTACGAGAGCGCCCCTCCGGTTTCGTAACTGCCTTGCGTTGCGTTATTTATAGATGACGCTAATAACAACATCAACAATAACATATTGGTTTTGAAGTCTTCACGACAATTGACTTGACGTTTCTGACATTACAGAGTGAAACGTTATCGCTGTTTTCTGTTTTTTTTTGTTTGTTTGTGTATTGCATCAATTTGGGAAGATGGTGGAAAATGGGACAAGCAATGGAGATGTTGATCGATTCCTTGGAGCTTACCATCGACATGGTGGCTGCCTGCTTCTGTCCTATTCCGGCCTAGGTATCGGGTCCACGTCGGGGCCCGTACAATAGGTCGCTCGTTCCTCTCCTCCTGCTACTGCTGTCGCCGCTCGCTCTTTCAGCGAACCTAGGTATTCTCCTTACTCCGAACTCTCAGATGAACCCACACATGACGACGCTTCTCTCGTCCACTCAACGTTATCCACCTATTGTCCTCCACAAATCCAGCCTGTGTCGCGGATCGCGACTCTCCTCCAGCACGTTCAACGTATATACTATGATCTGTGTGTCTGTAATATACCCGATTGTGAGGAGTGTGCAACCTGACCCGCCGATCAATACCTCGCGCTCTTGATAACTGCTGCGAACCTCCGCATGCGACATCCAACGGACGATTCCAAAATTCTCGGTCTTTCTTTTTTTCATCACAAAAATGAACAGAGAAGAAAAGCAAACTAACAAATAAAAACATCAATATTGTCTAGAATAAATGTTTAAAAAAATAAATAAATAACTCGGCAAGGCCGTTGCTTTCCTTTCCTTACAGTAATTATAATAAAAGCATAGACGTAGGACGAAACCATTAGATAAAGTAATTGGGACTAACATTTTTTCTGGAAGCTAAATCCTCATTTAGTCCTATTTTCAGTGAATATACGTATTTCTATTTTGGATTCAAGTTGTTTTGGATCAAAAGCTGTGATTTTAGAAAGTCCTCGGAAAATTTGTTACATTAATTCAATATATTTGTCTAGTTGAAGAGTTACCATTTATGAATGGATGACATATAATGCGCATACAACGACGTGTTCGTGTCTGCATCTTGATTAGTATCAAGAGAAAAGTAAAAATGTATAATAAATTGATTGAAACCAATTTAAAGTTATACGATTTGGGAAACTTTCACGAAGACGTGTTCTTGAAACTACAAAAATATATCAAAGGTCTTCAGATTCTGGCTCTGATTTCCATCTTGAACGAGTTCATGTTGGAGATGCTTCCTCACAATTCCGCATTCGAGACTTATTTAATGGATGAAAATATATCATATGTGTATCAAAATGGTAATGAAAAATCACCAGTAACGTATATATCAACAATATTACATCAATAGTAACGTTTATATCAATAATTTGGTGCTTGTAGACATCAGCTATCAGCAATGTAGTATAAACAGTAAATTTGACGTCCGCAGTAACGCAGTTATAAATAATATAGCATTTAAAATAACGTTTTTTACCAAGAATATGGCGTCCGTTTTAACATTGTTGTAATGAATATAGCAATATAGCATTTATCAACAATATAGCTTCAACAGTAACGCAATTATTAAAAATATAGCGTCTCACTAACGCATTTATCAACAAAATATGGCGTGCGAAGTAACGGACTTATTAACAATAACAATATGACGTCCTAAGTAACGCATTTATCAACAATATGCCGTCTGCAGTAACGCACTTATTAACAATATGTGTCCTAAGTAACATATTTATCAACAATATAACATCCGCAGTAACGGACTTATTAACAATATTAACAATAACAATATGACGTCCTAAGTAACGCATTTATCAACAATATGCCGTCTACAGTAACGCACTTATTAACAATATGTGTCCTAAGTAACGTATGTCAACAATATGAAATCCGCAGTAACGGACTTATTAACAATATGGCGTTCTTAGTAACGCATTTATTAACAATATGTGTCCTAAGTAACCTATTTATCAACAATATGGCATCCGCAGTAACGAACTTATTAATAATATAGCGTCCTCAGTAATGCATTTATCAACAATATGGCGTTCGAAGTAACGGACTTATTAACAATATAGCGTCCTCAGTAATGCATTTATCAACAATATGGCGTCCGCAGTAACGCACTTATTAAAAATATGGCGTCCTCAGCAATGAATGTATTAATAATATGGCGTCCGCGGTAACACAATTATTGCGTCGTCAGTAACGCATTTATTACCAATACGACTTCCGCAGTAACGCAGTTATCAATAATATGCAATAATATGCAGAAGCGCAATTAGCAATTAACGCTATGTAGTGAAAATAAATTACAAGAATTAACAATAAATAAAAATTCATTTATTATTGCATATATTGCATGTAGAACAAATTTTGATGAAGAAATATTTTTTCAAATATAAATCAAATAAAACAGCATGAAAAGTTCAAACAATTTATGTGATGAAATTAAACACGTAATAATTCAAGCGGTTATGGTAAAGGGTGAGAATTATCTAAAGGAGTGGCAGAATTAAGGATAAAAAAAACATTACTGATATTATATGAATAGTATTGACGTATTTATAAATAGCTTAGTATATAATATTGCGCAGAACTAGTTCTGAAATTCTGCATTTCGATTAAGAATTGTGTATCTCGTAACTTTGGTTGCTCTTAGGTACAATGGAACAAAGATGGTAATAATAGAAATATACAAGGTACGAAAACTCATTTTCTTTTGGATGCGAGATAAACAATACATAAGTAAAAACAGCATGGCTATAAATATATGAATTTTGTCTTTTATGTTTAAGCCTTTTGTGTTGATGTGCTCAAGACGCCGAAAATGGAACGGCAATTTGTCTTCGTATATTTATAACATGATACCACATAAGTCTTATGATACAATGAAAGATCTCGGACAACTAGTTTAGTATGCAACCAGATATACTTTTCTTGTGGGTACGAACAATAGTCACAAAATACATTACTAACTCAAATAAATACATTAACACTGAAAGGGTAAGTTTTAATATTAAAAAATAAACTTATTTACTTTACACTACACTACGTGTCTATTAAATAAAAGCAGATATAATAACGTAATTAAAAATATATTGCAACTAATCTTTCGACATTAACAAAAAAAACTAATTTATTCAATGGAAAAAAGCACGTTTAAATGCAATTAAAGATAATTATTTTTATGACTGAAAAATTGTAAATAAAATATATTTAAATAGGTAGAAAATTTTGGAAAAAATAGTTCATTTGAAAATAATTTGTTACTCTTAAGTAAGACAATTTCTACAAATTAGAATCCGCAAAACGAACCAACGAAAAATATTTTATAATGGTGTTTGTTTTATATATCTAATATGTTATATTACTAATGAAAAATTGTAAGTTTTAAAAAGTTTATACAGTGGATCCTCGCTTAACCAACACCTCTCATAACGAATAATTAGCTTAACGAGCAATAAAAATGTAAATAATGATTCACTTAACGAGTGACGAGAAGGGAAAATCCTGATTGTGCACTTCATACATCATTTTCAAAACTTGTGTGTAGTTAACCATTGCAAATTAATGTATATGGGAAAAATTGTTTCGCTTAACGAATGTTTCGCGTTACGAGTAAGTACTGTATATTTAACATTAACATTATATTTAACATTAAATTATCGATTCAAAACTTAGTAAAATGAAAAATATTTCCCACTTTACATAATAATAAGAATTAATATATTGCATATATTTCTCAATTGCTAATAGTTCCTCGCTTTGACACATGGTGACAGCTGTCATAACGTGACGTAATAGGTTGAGAAACACTATTGTATACAATAGACAATGATTTTTTTTAAAATTATATTCTTGAAACTATGAAATTTGAAACAGCATCAACATTTAACTCTTTAAGGAGCGGTACACGCAAGTACAACCTTTTGAATATGCCTAGTGGGGCATCATTATAATTTTCTAGGAATTTGTCTAGGTAGTTGTCTAGGAATTTGTTGGGTAAAGACCCAACAAAGAGCTAATTGTACGCGGAAGTTTAAATATTGATTCAAGTATTCCGTGACTTCAAAAAAATATGTTGTAAAATACTGCAATAGACAATTATTCACTTTCCACCAGACTTATATAAAATATTTTAAAAATTGAAAACACATTTTCATTAATTTTCTTTTTAGATTTTTACTAAAGTAATAAAACAACAGATTACTTACATGCACTTATAAGCTAGTTTTCGTTATATTATATTGTCATTATGTACTAGAGTGTACATTATAGTAGTAAAGATAATAAAAAAATACTTATGATACTAAGAAACAAAAAATAAATCTAAAAATACTAAAAGATTGCCCGAACAATACAAGACTAGGTTTTCCGAATCTTTTTCATAAAATAACGCGTTCACAGTTGTTTCGCTAAGATATTACAAAACAATAAAATAACACTTTGCACTACACATACGTCATTGTCCATATTTTCGTACTCTACATCTTCTATTGATGGTATTTATAACGGCGATACGTCTCTTCTCCGACTCAAGCTCTCTGATGCGGATTTTCTGTTGGTTGATCTGTGCCCTCATGGCGACAAGTTCATCTTGCAAACGGACAAGAACATCCTCACGAACAGCATCCTCCTCAATCTCACGTCTTAAATTATTGCAGGCTTCGTTCACTGAAACAATCATAATCAATCATTAAAAACAATTAAAGTTAAATTAACGACAAAAGAAAAGCACCTTCTTCAAGTTCTTGATCGCTCCTCTGGCGAAGATCGATCTTTTCCTTTCTCTGCTCCTTGAAGAGTCTGACCAGAGATTTCTTGTGCTTTCGTTTATCTTCAGCTATCGAATCTTCTACGTCCCTGATGCAGAGCATAGCCTCTTCTGCGTCCAACATTGCCATCTTTGTCTTTCTTCTCAAACTTTTCACTTTGAACACTTTCAGCTGTAAAGAAATTTGTTTGTTAACTGCAAAATAAATATTATAAATAATAAAGAAAACTTACAACATTTTTTATCTTTTTCATGGATTTAATTCTTCTGTCTCGGAAAGACATGTTTGTATTGATGTTCCTTCTTCGACTGGCGCCGGTTCACTACTGATGAAAATGAAAAAGGTAAATCCAAAAACATGTTTTTTTTTTTTAAATTATTGCACCTAGGCGGCTTCATCCCTACTCCCAATAAACATTTACGATTTACGAAGAAAATTGAATTTTGCATGCGCTTTCTATTCTGAAAAATATACCGCGCATGCTTACCTAGGTCGTTAGTTCAACTACAACTTAACATAGAAAGAAACTGTTAGAAACGTTTCTGCTCTAAGATATGTTTGATGTAATGAATATGAATTGCAGATCTACTTCAGGTAAGTCTATCTATTCCTTACTTAGTATCGGTATATTAAAATATTTGATTCTCCAGGTTCGGTGTCTTCAAAACATACGGGAAGTCCGAGGAGAAGCGACAACATGAATTCTAGGATGAGCAAATTGAAGGAGAAGGTAAGTTATTAGATTGTTGTTTTTTTAAATATAATATGTGTTTGTTGTTTAGCTGAAGGGTTACACCTTGTGTCACCTGAGAAAAGAAGTGAAGAAGTTGCGGAAGAACGTGGAGACGTCGTCTGTCTCGTACCAGCAATTAGAGGAGTACCTTGATCTGGAGCGGCATGAGCATATGATGCTGCAGAGAGAATTCGCTTCTTACCAGCAGAAACAAGACGAGATCATCCAGCAGAAACATCATGAATATAACGAACGTAAGCTGTTTAGTATAGTTGTTGGTTGATTACTTAAGTTGAAGATCACTTTGTTGCAGTGAGAAACCACTATGAGGAGAGGAATGCGCGGAACGAGGATATGATTTTGGAATTGACTGACCGGATCAAATCAATGGATCTTGAAATGCGAGAAAAAAATATGGTACAGGAGAACGACTGCAAGAACTTTGTGAAAGAGTCCGTGCTGGAGGTTACTTCGTTGCAGGCTGTGCTGGAGATGAAGCAAGAGGAAATTCGTCAAATGCGCGTCAAGATGATGACGCTTCAGAGCAAAGTGGATTTGCTGCCGGAAACGGAGAATCTTCTGGGACAACTGAAATTGCGTTGCGAAGACCTCGAGTGTCAGATTATGAACCAAAGGAACGCCAAAATGTAAGTAACTAAGCTAAGTAAAGTTGGCTTACCAAAACGCGCTTAGCAACGAATAATTAAATCTCTTTTTTTTCAGGCATTTGGAGTTGGATAATAACAAACTGCGACAACTCCACGAGCTGGAGAGCAAAGAGCGCGATACGTTGATGATGATGAACGAAATGCTTAAATGGAAGTTGCAGAAGATGTAAAGTTCGATTTGTCTCAAGAATAATATATATTTTTTATTACAAGACGAAATAATAATAATAATAAAATGTAACAAATAATAATAATAGATAAAAATAATTATATATATATAACATATTGCAAAAAATAGTTGTATTGTAAATTGTTCATAATTAAATTTATATGCGTCATAAATTGCGAAGAAAACTAACATAACGTAATAATTCTAAGTTGACAATAATGATTATACATTAGAAATAGTAATAATAATAATATACGTATTTATGTTGATGTGTAGTTTGTATTTATATAAAAAAAAATAAAAATATGAACGGATAAAATAATGAAAAACAAAAAGAAACATGTGTTATTATAATGAATATTCATGTAAATTGCATTAAAACCCATTAACCTTAATTAACACGAATATTAATTAAAGACAATATAATTAATTAATCAATTCTCTCATATATATATATAAATATTCTTTCTCTCTTTGTTTCATTCTCTCTTATATATATTTGTATATATATATATTTATAAAACCCTATTTTTTTACTAGACCATTTGCAGTGGTGTAACCAAGGGTTTATTTTATTTTTTTCCTAAAAGGGGTTTATAATTAATTTTATAAAATCACATCTCGTTGATCTTCTTGGAAAATCGTTATTGTTTTCTTTTGTTTTGGAAAAAAATGTCTTCCGTCGTGCTCGTCATCGTTATTTTTTAAATTCATTCTCCTAAACATTAATTCCTTAAATATCACCGCAGCCTTCGACGAATTGTGACACAGTTGGGCGGCAAAAATGGTAATGTTCTTCTTCCTTCTTCATATACATATATCATAGTTAAAATAGAGATAGCACACATGTAAAGCACATAAACCATAAGACACAAGAGTTAACACCTCACCATCCTCACCCTATCTTAGTCGACGTATCTCCAATTTTGGTGTTCTCGTTTAAAAATACAGAAAATATATAAATCTTGTACTCAGTCCTTACAACAGTAATATGGCAACTTGGCTCGTCTGGAGATCATTTTTTGTTTTAGTTTCTTTCCTTTTTCCCTTTTGAATAATAATAATAATAATAATAGGAGTCATTAAAAAAATACGTCCGAATGTCGTTTCTCCTTACATTTGCTTGAGCAAATGGCAATGGATGGAATAGCGGCAAACGAAACAGTACTTTGAACTGATATTGTTCAACAGCTACTCATCCACGAATAACTTTTCACTGAAGAAGCCTTCTTATTTACGAGATCATTTGTTTGTTTTGTTTATCTGCATTCCTCGTTAGCTTTGTAGATAACGTCATGGATTCATCTTCATTGGATGATGATGATCTACCTGGATTGGATCTGTGTGTGTGTTGTACAATCTATGAGACTGAGCTGATGGCATTGTGTGGTGCACCCATCTGCATGAGAACCTTGTCCAGCCACTGAAGCGGTCCATGGAGATGCACCTCTATCCAGCAGGGCGTGCTGGTCACGTCCTGGCGATGGTACTCCGCGCCCCAGCCCTTCACGAAGCTCATGCGAATCGTACACATCTTGGTCAACTCGTAGACGGCTTCAAAACCGTGATTAACGCATTGCGAAAGCAGCTGCGCGAACTCGGCATTATTGAATATCCGTAGAGAGCAACCGGCCGGAATCTTGCAGACGGTTGACGGATGGAAGCCGTGGTGATGGTTACAATTGCGTGACTGCACGAAGATAGCGGAGTCGGATAGACACTCCGCATACACCTCGCCATTCACATAATATAGATGGACACCGTTGCCAATGTGCCTCCTGGTATTCTCTATCGTCGAGTTCCTGTTCACGTTGCTCAGCTGACCCAAACAGAATCGGTCACTGTTGTTACTTGGTGGATTCGTGAAACCGTCTACGCGCACCGATGTGGACTGGCAATGGAAAATCTCGCCGACGCGACAATTCAGCTCGTAGTAGGCTATCGAGGCCCAGAAAGGCTGTTCTTGGTAAGCCACCGGCTGCACGTCTGTCAAGTTCGCATCCGTCGAATTAGCAGCGGGGTTGTTGTTGGGAGTAAGGGCGTTGGCGGCATTGCCACCGGCTGTGGGTGTTGTCTCATCGGTGGGACTGTAGGCTGGCGGCGGCGTCTCCGCTAGGTTTGAATATGGAGACTGCGGGTTGTTTGAGGAGCTCACGCTTCCTGGACTGGGGACGTTCGACAGCGGCGAGTTGGGGCTCATATGGTTGCTGTTAAAACCGGATGAAGAATAGCTCACGTTGTGCGGCATGTTGGAGTCGACAAGCTGCTGAAAGGGTAACAACGAGTGACCGGGTACGAAGTCATTATGCCTGGGTACAAGAACTGGAGGCAACACGGGGCTCTCCACGCGCTTATAATGATAGGGATTGATGCACACCTCCTTCTGCTTGGCTGAGAACGGAAACTGGCAGTGTTCAAGCGGTTTCAGCTCGTGGTGGCTCTGAAGGTCGGGCCATCGCCAGACGCGGCAGTAGATTACATGAGGCAGACCTTTGCGATGCGAGACCTGTAGACGACCGTCCAATGATCGTGGAATCGTCACGCACTTGCTTGGCGTCCCAGGACACGAGAGCGCTTTCTCCAGTTCCTCTATCGCACCTTTCCGCTTCTTTAGCTTCTTCACCAGACTATCCACGGCCTTTTCCGCCCACTTCTCCTCCTCGTCCCCCTGCTTCCATCCCAGTAACTTCTTCACCGCCGGACTGGTAAATGAGAACAAACTGTTCAAAGATGAGATCGGACCGCTGCTCGAAGACTCTACTTCATCCGTATCCATCTCTGTGGCAGCTAGAAAACAAACAAAAAAAGAATTATCTCATATATTCAAATTAAACTTTATGCATAGCAAGTAGTAACTATATTTGTCAAGTTTCTATCATAAATGGTCATGAACCATAACTTCTGTATTTTGTAAATATATAATATTACTTAATGTTATATGACTATTACTATTTGTTATGAGATGGCAATAGTAAACACGCGACGACGTTCAAATATTTATTTATTTTTATCTAATACATAAAATCAAACTAATTCTTCAGTAACTTCTTATTAAATTCAACCAGAACAAGTAAAATTGTAAATTATTATTGACTGTTATAATATGAATCCATATTTTAAATTTGGTGTTTAGATAAATTCTAGTGACCACAATTTTGGATAACGTTATGAACCACAACACATGCAGTATGATTCCTATTTAAATGAGTATTGATGAAACTAACTTTTGAGAAAATCCATATTGTATAATACTTTACACCCAATATCATCTTCATACATTATAATATACTGAAATCAATTGTGTACTAAAGATGTTTAAAATTGTAAATGATTGTGCAAGCAGAAACAATGACGACAGGGCGGGTTTATGGCATCGTTGATAAGGCAGCGGAGATGATGATAAACAAAACAAGTGGTAAGCAAGCAAAGTGAGTCATTTGGGTAAGGGTGAACTGAGTCACTATCGTAGTACGATGCACTGTACAATACACTCGATGTTATTGATGTTTCTGGTTTGCGAAGCGTTCGCGAGCGTTTGAAGCGATTAATGACCCCCGCGATGCCGTGCATACGGTAACAGCATCTAACGTGTAAGCAGAGTAAGCGCAGAGCGCGAGCAAGAGGAATATCTGGTTTTACTTCATTTATTTTTTGTTCTCTCTGCACTCTGCAACTTTGCAAAATAACAGGAAAAGGCGATGTGCACTCAGGACGGGTCGGGATCTCGACGGAGGGCGATCAAACAAAGAGCAACGGACAGAAGCAAGTGCAGATTGCCGAGCAAAACAAACGCCGGAGAGTGCGTCCTCTTTTTTTTTGTTCTTAATCTTTTTGCAGCAGCGAGGCCCCCGCGATCGTGCGGCCCGCGGGCCACGCGCGCGCCACCTCCCCGACTCGTGTACTTTCGATATTCAATTGGATATTGATAGTGGACTCACCTGCTTCGAAAAAGCGCCAAAAATCCAATAAAAGAGCCCCAATTCAACCACAATATAATCCACAAAATGACGCTGCGAGTCGCTTGTCAAGCTTGCTAACAGCACCATAGCAGCGTTGCCGAGTCGTGCGCGCCTTGCACTTGCTTCTATCGCGACGTTGCCGTCTTCCTCCACCTGCAGTTCGCTAATTGCAAAGGCAAAAAGGGTCCAGTCGATTTGTGTAAATATTCGAATCTCGGAAAGAACATTTTTTTCCAGTTTATCGATGATCGATAGGAGTTCGGTTTATTCTAGTACTGCGTGCGTAGTGCATCAGAAAAGTTTGCGTGTTTTCCCCAGGTTGGCACCAGTTGCAAGTCGGTCGGCAAGGCGTATATGTGCTATCGGCGATTCTCGAACATTCTTGCGGCGACTTACAGTGTGCGTTTGAGGGTTTTTAGTGAAACGATCTATATTTTTTTTAAATCATCAGAGAAACGAGCCGGGTAACCATGGCAGACCAGGTAAGTGATCTAGTAATTTTAAACTTTCAAAGATTATTCTTTTCCATTGACCACCTTTCAATGTTGCGGTACAGCAGCGCACTATGATCTGCAAATAATGTGCACCTATTTTTTTCCTTCCCGTGTGTTTGTCTCCGACGCACGCTTTAACGCGGTTCACTTAATTTTTGCAGGTTACTTTCCTGAAGGAGCAGGGCAATAAGGCTCTGGCAGAGAACAAGTTTGAGGAAGCTGTCAAGTTTTACACAGATGCAATAATCATTGATAGCAACAACCATGTGCTGTATTCCAATCGTTCAGCTGCTTATGCTAAATTGCAGAATTATAATTTGGCTCTGGCTGATGGGGAGAAAACCATAGAGATTAAACCAGATTGGCCCAAGGGATACTCCCGCAAAGGACTGGCTCAAGTGTACCTGGAGAAATATGATGATGCCATCAAGACTTACCAGGATGGTTTGCGCGTTGACCCCGATAACGTTACACTTAAGGATGGTCTGAAGGAGGCCATGGCCGGTAAAGCTCCACCACCGTTCCGCAACCCGTTTTCCGGTCCTGAGGTTATGAACAAGTTACGGTCGGATCCGCGAACGAAAGCACTGCTCGACGATCCTGAATACTTGAAGCTGCTGCAAGCACTTCAGACTAACCCACAGATGATGGGAACCAATCTGCAGGATCCCAGGATGCTGACAACACTCTCAGTGTTGCTAGATTTTCAGGAGCCCATGGATACTGAGCCAGGACCACCACCTGCACAAAGTGAGATGAAAAAGGAGGAGGTACCAAAGTCAGAGCCAGAACCAGAGTTGCCTGAGGATAAGAAGTTGGCTAAACAAGAGAAGGAAAAGGGCAATGAAGCTTACAAAAAGAAAGACTTTGAGAATGCTATTAAACATTACAATCAGGCCATTGAGCATGACCCAACAGATATTACTTTCCACAACAATCTGGCAGCTGTGTTCTTTGAGCAGAAGGAGTTTGAGAAGTGCATTGAGCAATGCGAGAAGGGCATTGAAATCGGACGCGAGAACAGGGCTGATTTCAAGTTAATAGCCAAGGCGTTCTTGCGGATCGCCAACGCATATAAGAAACTGAAGAACTGGAAACAGGCTAAGGTCTACTACGAAAAGTCGATGTCTGAGCACAGGACGCCAGAAATCAAAACTCTGTTGTCAGAGATTGAGAAGATCATTAAGGAGGAAGACAAGAAGGCATACATTGATGAAGCAAAGTCCGAGGAGGAGAAGGAACTCGGCAACGAACTGTTCAAGAAGGGTGATTACGCTGGAGCAGTGAAGCACTATTCGGAAGCGATTAAGAGGAATCCGATTGACGCTAAGATTTACAGCAATAGAGCTGCCTGCTACACAAAGTTGGCTGCTTTCGATTTGGGTCTTAAGGATTGCGACGAATGCGTCCGTCTAGACCCCAAGTTCATTAAGGGTTGGATTCGTAAAGGTCATATATTGCAAGTGAGTATCTTCCCTCAATTTTTATAGAATGATTAAGCTGTTATAAATGAGTATCATTGATGCTAATATATATGCTATCTTTTAATAGGGTATGCAACAGTCGACGAAAGCGATCGCCGCCTTCCAAAAGGCTTTGGCCTTAGATGCGAATAACGCGGAAGCGCTCCAAGGGTACAGGGCTTGCAGTTTGGAGAACGCCGGAGTCGGCAGTGATCCAGAAAAGGTGCGACAGCGTGCTATGGCAGATCCTGAGGTGCAGGCCATCCTCAGGGACCCAGCAATGCGCATCATTCTCGACCAGATGCAGAATGATCCGAGAGCGCTGCAGGATCATCTAAAGAACCCCGACGTCGCCGCTAAGATCCAAAAGCTGCTGGAATCCGGGTTGATTGCCATCCACTAAGCATACTCGAAATAAAAAAAACGAAAGAAAAATGGTTCCGGTGAAGCGAAAATGAGCGTTACGAAGAAAACCTTTCGCTATTATTATATATTCTTTTGATTTTTTTTTATTAATGTAATATTAGTTTTTACTGTAACCAGCGGCCATTCCTGATGCGCCTGAGAACACTACATATGCAGAGCAAGTTTACTATTTCCATAGCATTTTATTTGGATGGCAGGAGGAAGGCGTTTTGTTCTTTGACTTTATTTTAAGTTTTAAGTTACCAAAATGAATGAAAAAGAAAGATGAACAAAAAACGTTGTTTTATTACTATTATTTCGTATAAACGAAATGTGTTGCCTTTCTCTCGCTTCCAGGACAAGATCGCAGTTTAGGTTTATGCACATATTTAGTTATTTCATTTTCTAATTAATTATAATAGTTCCTAAGTATATGTAATAAAACACAAAAATTGTATATGTACTAAGGTGTAGTTGTTTTTGGATTTACTAAAAATAACAAAAACATTTTTGTTCGTTCCGAGTCGTGTATGCTTTAGTCTGTCTGTGTAATTACGAATAACGCATTTAAGTTAAGTAAATAAAGTAAAACAACAAAATACGTATTTTATAAACCTGTTAAACAATTACTTAATGATACTAAAAACCTCGAGCTACTATTTTCCTACATGATCATTTTATCTAAAGTTTAGTTATGTAACCCACTGTACGAGTTTATGAAAAATGTCTAGTTGCAGCTCGAAATAAATCTTTGAAAAAGAATCCTACAATAATAATAAACGTATTTTTATTTATTAATTTCTAAATCCGCTTGGATTTCAAAACGTAAATTTATGTTTAAACGTTGGTTGCAATGCTCAAAGCGTTGCGAACAAAATGTTTAAAGAAAAAAGAAGAATTTACAGAAATATTCGTAGCTATTCTATATCTATTTTTAAAAGAATATATTTAAGTTTAATCACGTTTGCATACATTTTTGAGATTATCATATATTGGCCAAGTTTTTGTTAAATATTACAAAACATATATATACAAAAAATCTATTGAAATTTCTGCTATTATTGAAATACAATATTTTTAAATATTTTCATTACGTGTGGATTTCAATATAATTTATATTCTTGCTTTTATTATAGATTTTGTGTTGGCATAGATTCCAAATAAAGGCATGATCTTACATCAGACATCAAGGTAACAAGAAATATTTTTAAATAATAATGTATTTCTTAAAATTAAATTTTAAATTATAGTCGCTTGTCTCACGAAATTGTATCATGTGTATGGGATTATTGTTATAATGAAGTTTTGGTTGCATAAGATTGTAATTTTTAAATTTCATATGCTGTGGAACCTCGCTTAACGAGCAAAATTAATTGTAAGAAAAATGACTCGTTAAATGAGCAATGTTTTGCAAAATGAGTGTCGATGAAAAGAGAAGTACCGTTTTAAAAACATATTTTGTGTATTTTTGAATATGTTTCACTACCCGGAAATCCGGAAATTTTGGAACGCATTAAACTCGTTAAGCGAGGTTTCACTGTACAGTCAGACTTTGATATATCGAAGGCCACAAATTTCTTCCAGTAAAGACAACTACCATGATTCAACCATTAGATCAGAAAGTTATATCATCATTTAAAGTTTATTATCTGCATTGAACATTTAAGTAATTTAATTGAAGTAGAGAATAAAGATGAAATGACAGTTAAAACTTTTTGAAAAAAACTAGACCATTAACAATGCAATTAAAAATGTTGAAAGTTCTTGCGAATAAGTCGTTAAGAAATGCTTCTCCATTTAAGTATTTCTTAATGACTTCTTTGGCGTAAATGAAGTTCTATTAGAATAAGAAAATAACATAAAAGAAATAAGAATTGACGTTATCGAAATGACTCAATTTTCTTAATCAGGGGGTTTCGAAAATTAGTGGAAGATTTAGTAAACTTGATTAGAAAATAACAAAGCGAAAACGAAAATAAACAAATTCCTGTTTAGTTAATTATTGCTTAAATGACATTGAAAACGCTTTAAATAATCCTGCTTTAAGTAGAAGTGTTATTGTTAAGTGATCAGTTTTAAATGTATATCTCTGAATACAATGTTTTGCTTAACGAAGTAATTTCTTTGTATGGTCTTTGGTTATGAATAAAACATATAACTTGATTTCTAGAGGTTCGGTTGGTTGCTGTCTGTCGATTAGTTGTTTTCGTAGTTGTGTAATTAGGCTGAAAAGAAATCTGTTATCTTCGAGAAAGCGCTTTGTACGTGCTGCCACCACAGTGAGCAGTGCAGACAAACACATACTTTAACCTCAATTGTTATCGTGGCCATTTATTTATGTTTTTATATGCATGTATGTGTATAAATACAGATTCATATATATAGATATACATACATACTTGTGCTTTTTTGGAGTGACATCTCGGTGTGTTCGAAATTTTTAATCGAGAGAAAAGCACAAACATGGGCCTGGTAAGAGAGATTAAGTTATATACTTTTTGAGAAATTGGGAGATCAGGAACGAAACACCAAGCATGGTTCATACCTTCGATCATCGTATTTTCATAGGCCCGGCGCCAATCATTTTCTTATATATATACATATAATATGTATACATAAGAATGTATATATATATATATACATGTATATACATATTCCATTCCAATTTCGATTTTTCTGTGTCAACGTCATTACCATTCGGCAAATGCCATCAAAAAGAGATTTCCTTTTAGTACCCTCTTCTCGTTTCTTTCACTGCTCAAGTAATTGCACGTTTTGTTAATATCCTGGTTTAAGTAGAAGTAGTTAATGGGACTGGGTTATATAAGAGGCGCGGCGAGAGGTGATTGCTTATTTGATGATGGGTCCGTTGGTATTGCACGCCGTTTCTCGTAAGGATATTCGGATTGACAATTAATAATCCGCTCAGCTGCTAGCACCTAGATCTCATCCGACTGGCCTAAAAAGCAATAGCTCTCAATTTACATTTAACAAATAAAGTAAATTTAAAACTGAAAAATGAAAATTTTTATTCGAATGTAAATATTACAAACTATCTTTTAGATAAATTTGTAAATATTGTCACAAGTATCAATAAGTAAATAGTGATGATATATTCTAATAATGGATACAAATTTCTTTTAGTCGATAACTTATTTTGTTTATTTCTCATTTTCGTGTTGTCTCTGCGCTACGGCGTTTCATTGCGGTTTCGTATTCGATTGTGATTTTCTTATTCCCCGTTCGATGATCTCGCCTCTTTGGTTTCTGGCGGATTTTTTCATCGCCCTTCTCCTCTTCTTCAACGCGCGCGAAATAAATTGGAATCGCGATCGCGCGCTTTCATATTCAGGCTACTTTTCAAGGTGTAAATCTTTTTGTTCTCAATTTGTAAATGTATCTGGTGGTGGTGCGGTAGTATCACGTTGCGGTTTGATGATTGTGTGTTGTTGTCCATACGAAACACATGCACACCGGATTTTGCAAGTTCTCTTTTTTTTTTGATCCGAAGACCGCTTCGTTCTGCATCCATCGTTGAAGTCTCTCATTTATTATTAATTATCTTCATTACACTTCAATCCCTACATATGTTAAAATAAATCTTAAAATCAACTATTGTTTTCTTCTTCATAATTTTTTTTTACTATATTGTTTTTTTTGTTGCCTCATGCTTTTGTTTGTACAATGAACTACTTTGACCGTTTATTGAAAATTAGGCGACAACAAAGAAGCGCCAAAGAAATTGTTGTTGTTGTTTGTTGATCGTCGAGTGCATTCCACTGGTCTTTTGTTTTCAACTCTTTTATTTTAGTGCGCGCGCGTTGTTTCTCGATTTCGTCGCTATGTTTTTCGTGTCCGGAATGCGAATGAACCGTGTGCAGTCGACGGGATTCGAAAAAAATCGTCCTTTATTATTGTTGTTGTTGTTGTCAGGCTTTTAAATGCGCTCGTACAAATCGCTTAATTAATTATTTATAGAGTCGCGGTCTCTGCCGATTGATTTATTCATGTGTGAATGCAGTAATTAAATTCGAAAACGCGCGGCGCACGGCTTACATCATAGAGAAGTAATAAGGTTAAATGCCGTTTTTATGCACGCTATACAGGGTGACCGACGCTTATTTCAATGCACCTCCATCATCCGATCATTAGTATTCCTCAAAACAACTTGATATCGATTCTCATTTAACATTGGATCCGCACATACTCAACATCAATTCATTAACTTGCTACATTCATTATAACTAATTGTTTATAATAAATAACATTGATTGGACGCCTTGTATATGTTGCAAATGCGTTACAACTGAAATTAGAATTTCCAATAGGAAAACGTACCTGATTTGCATTGACGCATTATGTCGTTACAATTTTTTTTCAGCGATTTTAATTAATTATGTGCTATTCGCTTCACCTTTCATTTGTATACATTTATGCAACGTATTTATTTATATTACACCTTTTTTTAGCCGAATGTAATAACACGTTTCTTTTAAAAATAAATAAATTAAAAAAAAAACGTAAACAGTCACAATCGCTAATTGAATTAATTACAATTGCAAGTGGAACGTTGCTCGTTCTCGTTACTCTTTTTTTTTCTTTGTATCAAGTTGTTTGTTAAATAGCAGCGGAGGTTTTCGAACCCCGTCGCGTCATTTTATTTTTATGGACTTATTTCCAAACGTTGTATAACTGTTGCGCAACTGCAATTTCGATCGGCAGATGCGACGCGGCGTGGATTGGTGGATGCGCCGGGCGCGGCGTTTATTTTAAAATTATTTAGATGTGCGTTTTTTTTCTTCTCTCTCTCGATTGAGCGCCTGAAGTATGCATTTTAAATTGCGCGTTTAATGCTAATCATATGATGGTGATGATATGATGAGGTGCGTTGATATCGATCTCGCATAATCGATTTTATGGCATTATAATGTCCACTTATTATGGGTTATTGCGTCGTTCCGAAGAGTGCTACTTTATTTACGTTCATGATTTATTTTTTATTTTATTTCGTCATAATTGAAGCTTCTGTTTCAGGTTTGGTAAATGTAGAAAAAAAAAAGAACGAAAAGTAAACGCGAATTTGATTTGCTTTTCGATTATGTCATCTGATTGATTGGCTCGATATGATTGTTGTTATGTAATTGATATCGGTGAAAGAAATAAATATCAAAACGTCAATTAAATCTGCTTTATGATTATGTCATCTGGTTCGATTGACTTGAAAAGATTTCTGTTAATTTTGTTTAAATGTAATAAAAAAATGAACAAAAATGAAATGCGAATTTTTTTTCCTATTTGATTATGTCATTAAACTTGTTTTGCGACGATTTTTTAGTTTTTCTCTATGTTTTATTTTGGAACTTGGAACATTGGTACATATAAGTACCATTAACGTAATATAAAACAAAGTGGTACACAAATAAACCAAATATAACCTGATTAAATTCCCTGACATGAAACATGCCTAGTGGAGCATTATTATAATTTGCAAGGAAAAGTTCAGGAAAGAGGAATTATCCATTAATTAGATTGGTTTCTTTTGAATTTGATGACTTTATTGATAATATTTTTGTGTTGGTTGACTCAAATTGATTTCGAGAAACATAAAATTGAATTCGCAATATGCATAAGAATAAAATGTGAATTTAATATTTATTTCAAATGTGTCATCTAATAGGATTGATTCGTTTATGGTTGTTATTAAAAAGGGTGTCCCAGAATTAAAGATAGATTTGAAAACAGTTTTTAGTCTTCAAGTTGTGATTTTTTTATTGAATCATAAAATACGTAGGTTAGGGTTATTTATGGAATAATATATCGGGCAAATAGCCTCCACAGCTTTGCTGGCACATACGCACTCTTTTATCGAAATTTTCTATGACCATTTTGCATAAATGTGGCTGAATATCGTTAATGCAGCGTTAAATTTCTTCCTGTAATGCACGGGTGGTTGTGAGCTTGTTAACATAGACCTTTGACTTCAAATAACCCTATAAAAAGAAATCTAATGGTGTTAAATCACAAGATCTAGGGGGTCAATTCTGATCACCGAAACGAGAGAGTACACGACTAGGAAATGTCTCATGCAGTAATTGAATTTTTTCACGGGCTGTATGGCACGTGGCACCATCTTATTGAAACCATATGTCGTCTATATCAATATCCTCCAACTGGGGCAGAAAAAAAAGTGTGTTATCATGTCGCGATATCGAGCACCAGTAACAGTCATTGCTTGACCAGCCTCATTTTCAAAAAAGTATGGTCCAATGATGCCTCCAGCCCAAAATCCGCAGCAAACAGTGACACGCTGTGGATACATTTGTTTTTCGAAAATCACATATGGGTTCTCCGGACCCCAAATTTATCAATTTTGGCGATTAACGAAGCCATCAAGGTGAAAATGTGCTTCATCGCTTAGGATGATTTTGCTAAAAAAATCAACACTCCATTTTTACTAACCCTAACCCCTCAGCTGCCAAATTGTTTACTTTTTGGGATTGCCAACACTTTACTGCACAAATGGCAGCAAATTCAAATCTATCGTTAATTTTGGGACACCCTATGTAAGTGATATCGATGAAAGAAAAACAAGACATTAAAGTGAGAATTCAATTTGCTTTACAATTGTGTCAAAATCAATAAAAATAAAATTCATATTAGAATTTATATTCAATTACGTTATCCGATTTATGGATTGGTTGACTCGAACGGATTGTTGTTATATAAGTGATATCGGTGAAAGAAACACAAAATGCGAATTCAATTTGCTATACAATTGTGTCAAAATTATTACATCGGATATATGTGAAGAAAAAAAAAACATCAAAATGCGAATTCATTTACGTTAAAATTTACGTATAATTAAATTCACAATCTGTTCATCAATGTGAACATTGAGTAAATTTTAGATCACGGTTGACATTCAATGGATAATCTTTCCCGATGGATAATATAATGGTGACTTTATGATGATTTTTTTTTTAAATTTTTGGATGGCTATCGTCTTGTAGGTTAACTTCTGTAGTATATTGATGCTCTGCGATTCCAACAATTACCTTTGACTTTGAATCTGCTGCAATCTTTAACACTGTCATTGTCCATCGACTTGGTTGAAGGTCCATATGCTGAACCTCATTCAGTTGACTGTCCATCTGTGATGACCGATGGTCCTATTGCTGCAAGCACCGAGAGGGCTCACAAAGGGCCTTCGAACTAGCGCCCACGAAATTGTGCGTAGAGCGACTTAACCATTCGGCTATTAGTGGCCCTATTAAAATACATAAAACAATAATTCGAATTTCATTTCCTTCTCAATTATGTCTTGTGATTTATTGATTGTGCCAAAATCAATAAAAAAATTCAATTATGTGAACCAATTTATTCATTGATTGATTCAAATTGATTATTATGCATTGGTTGATTCGAAATGGGTTTTATTATATAAGTGATGTTGGAGAAAGAAAAAATAGAGA